AGAGATAGAGAGTTAGAAACATCGATGAGAGAGAGTCATCAATCAGCTGCCTCTTGCACACCCCCTACTGGGGATATGCCCGCAACCAAGGTACATGCCCTTGACCAGAATTGAACCCGGGACCCTTCAGTCCCCAAGCCGACGCTCTATCCATTGAGCCAAACCGGTTTCAGCCATATAGATGGTTTTTAAAACCATTAACTTGGGTGACAGCCCTGGCATGCCCAGGTGGCTCAATTGGTTGGCACTTCATCCGTCACCTGGCATACCAAAAGGTTGCGGATTCTATCTCAACTGCTATTTCTCTCTCATGTCAATGTTTCTCTCTCTCTCTCTCTCTCTCTCTCCCCCCCCCCCCCAAAAAAAAACACGTCAGTAAAAACATATCCCTGGATGAAGATTGAAGATTTACAAAGAGAGTAGAAAATGGCTATATAAAAAAAGGGATGATTATTAAGTGACAATGTGTAGCCATAGCAGAAAAGAGACCCAGATTAAAGTCTTACTCTGCTTTATCAATTATAAATTAGACTCAGCAAATTGGAAGGAACACCAGAATAGATATATTATTCAAATAAAGAGAGGAAATGTTCTAAGGATACAGCTGTGTTGAGTGATGGCGAGAGGTTGACCAAAATGAGGTTTATAAGTTAGCCTTTGAATTTGGCAAGATGAAGGTTGTTTTGTGGCCTTAAGGAGTTATTTTTGTGGGGTGATTGGGATAGAAACCAGATTTTAGTAGAAGAGTGAATGACAGGTCAATAAGTAGAAAGAACTAAACTTCCTTTGAGAAGTTTTGCTATGAAAAGGAACAGAGTTGGGTGAATATTGAAGGAAGAAAATGAAATCAAGGAAAGGCTTAAGTGTTTTCCAGAACTTTCTGATTTGTGGGTATGTCCATCTTGGTTATCTCTTTTTATATTGAGTTCTATTTGTCATCAGTTAACTAGAGGATTGACTCATAATACCTTTTTACAAGTGGCTTCCTCCCCAAATCTTCTGTCTACTAAAGTGTTCTTTCTTCCTCCATTTCATTAGAGTTCTTTGTAAATGCTTCCTGTTTCTTTAAATGATAACACTATGGTCAATTAAATTTTTTCAAATGTTTGCTTTTCTTGATGATTTTATTGTGTCGTATAACCACCATAGATAATTTCAAGTGTCAATAATAGTGATAGCAATTGTAATAAGATGCTAATGTATGTTGACATTTACTGTGTACATGGTACCACTTGAAGAGATTTATTTGTATTTATTGAGTTAAGAGTCAAAAAACAACCCTGGGAGACAGGTACTATTTTTCTCAACAGAGGACTCAGGGGTATGAGGTACAGAGAGTTTTAACTCCCTGATTTAGGAATTAAATCTTTCTTCAATATTATACAATTAGTCAGTGTGGTTGTCTTAGCCACTATGCTATTCTGTCTCTACATGAACAAAGCAAATGTCTCATCTTCCAGTTATGTTAACTAAATATGCCTTTGGTGAATTGTTTTTGTTGTCATGAACTCTCCCTTTTTATATCTACTATACGAATGTATGTTTTGGACTGGGATGTTGGTTAATTTCATTATTTTCACAGTAATCACATTTTAGAGCTAGATAGGGACATTTAATTAAATAATGATTGAAATAAAATGTAAGAATCAGAAAAACGTGTTTTCTAAATTGCATTTTCCCCCTTATATCTTTTTTTGGCTTACCTCTGTTGGCTGTGAACTTTAAATTTATTTGCGCTTGTAACGATAAGCACTATTTATTCTGTGACTAATTTTACTAATCTTCAAGGCTTACCATTTCCACTGTGTCAGAGTAGCCATGATCAAGTTTACATTTCACTATACTCTTTTGGATTCACGACATTCCATTTTGACAGTGATAAAAAGCATGCTCTGGGGCCTCATTGAAAAGGAATGTCAGAACTGTTTCTGCAAGTTTCTTTCATTTATCTAACATAGAAAGATCAACGTGCTTACTATAAAATTCATAATATAGGAGTATGTTTTTATAAGGTTGGTTATTAGTAATATGCTTAACTGGCAAAAGTTTTTAGGAATTTAAGTTTTGGAGCGACTTTAGTTTATTTAAATAAATTTTTATGCTTTTGTGAAAGTTACTAACACTTAAAAACTTAATGAAAATATTTGATACTACAAGTGTGAAGAAAGGACAAGAACCTAGATTTAGTCAAAATACTTTTCATGCTAAGTTATAAAGCATGCCAGAAGCAATGAGCAGTAGGGGCGGGGGGCTGAGAGGCTGAGAGAAAAGGAGGAGGAGGAAGTATGTTTTTTGAGTGCCTATTGTATTCTAGGCAAGGCAGTGACAGGGCTTCTGTTAGATACTTACGCTGTCTCATTTAAGTCTCACAGAAGTCTTGTCAGGCAGATATTATCATTTCCCTTGTAAACATGAGGAAACTGATGTTGCAAATGTTGTCTTTAATAGAAGATCACACAGACAAATCTTATTCTGTTTGATACTTAGGCCCAATCTATACACTTGCTTCATGGAGTTGTTCTTGGGTCTTTTTAAGCAGAAAATCTTATATAATAAAAGGCTAATATGCAAATAGACCAAACAGCAGAACTACTGGTCGCTCTGATGTGCACTGCCCACCAGAGGCAGATACTCAACACAAGAGCTGCCCCCTGGTGGTCATTGTGCTCCCACAGGGAGAGGGCTGCTCAGCCAGAAGCCAGGCTCATGGTTGGCGAGTGAAGCGGAGCTGGCAGAAGCCTCTCCCGCCTCCATGAGAGCAGTAAGGATGTCCGACTGATGGCTTAGGCCCACTCCCTCTGGACTCCCGGTCTGCAAGAGGGTGTAGGCTGGGCTGAGGGGCCCCTCCGAGGGCATGAATTTCGTGTGCCAGGCCTCTAGTTATTCTATAACATGGCATAATTTCTGTTTAAATTTTACTCACTTAGCTATTATAAACAAAGACTACTTCTGTATAAGATTGCAGGTCTTTTCAAATATAAATACAGTATACTGACTTGTATAACTGCCTCACTTATCAGAATGGTATAAAATAAATAAGTAGAAATTTCAAATGTACATGACCATTAACATTTTTTCAAAGCTGTACAGCAGTGTGCTAGACCATGCTCACTGCAACATCAAAGATACACATGAACAACCTCATCTTCACCCCCATCCAGTTCAGTTATCTTCTGTGGGAGTTTCTGAGTGAGAGAACCTTCCCTGTTACCTCTAGTATATTTTCAGAGAAGAGCAAGATCAGATATTTCTCAAATATATTTTCCCTTGCATTTAACTTAGAATGGCAAACACTGAATGCACTATTGACCAATATCCTATATAATAAAAGGATAATATGCAAATTGACCCTAACAGCAGAACGAATGCTGGAGCAGTCACTATGAGGCACATTGACCACCTCTTGGTCTCTTTCCCCACCCGGCAGGCTCAGATTGCTTGATGGCCAACCACTGTGGGGGGGCAGGGCTGGGCAGCAGGCAGGAACAGCCAACCTCTAGGTCCCTTCCCTGGACCCTCAGGCACTGATCACCCAATGGCGAACAGGGAACCAGGGGTGGGTGGCAGTGGGGGGCAAGGGGCTGGGCTGGCTGCAAGCAGCTGGGGAAAATGGCCCTGGTCACAGGCCAGGCCTAAGGACTGTATCTGCACACGAATTCCCTGTGCTGGGCCTCTAGTGGATAAATAAGAAAGCATCTCAATCCTTTTATTGACCAGATTCATACCTCAATTGTTAAGGAATTAAATAAAATGATAGTAATGTTTAATCTGATGGCTATTTAAAATTCGTTTGAATATAATGACTTTTATTTTTATTCTTTTTTGCATTTTATAAAATTTCATGCCAGTGACCTCTGATCAAAAGCAATAAAGTTTTACAAGTTGGCTGGTTGTAGTTCATCAAATTTTTATAATGAGGGACTTTGCTTTAGTGAAAATTAGCCATATTTTCAACTGTTGCCTTTGCTTACTTTATTTAATCCCATCTTGGTTTCTGAAATGAACTACTACGTAATACCAGATTTTATAATTTTTTATATTTTAACTTGCAAAAACTTTTGCTGAAATATTTGTAAGACCTTACTACTGTGAGATAAATGATTTGTATTCAGAACTTGTTTGATCTATCTTTTAGAACTATATCCAATGTATAAAATGAAATGAATCTCCATATGCAAGTACAGAAACAAATTTCAAGTATAATATCATAATCTTGTTTTGCACTTAATGGAGTATTCAGATGTTTGTGACAAAAGCATAATGCATGACTTAAATGTTTAAATAGATTTTTAAATTCTGGTATATAAATTAGAGTTCTTGGGTGCAAATAATAGAAATCATCCCTGGCTGTTTTGAAATTGAAGAAAAATACACACACACACACACACACACACAAAATTGGACAGAATATTGAGAAGCTCACAGAATCATTGGGAAGGCTGGAAAGCTAGGCTCACAAAAAAGGGGAAGAATAAGATAAGTCAGGCAGCAGAAAAAAACCACAGCCAAAATAACAGTACAGCGTCAGCTTGTTGAATACATGCATGGCTGCCACCAGCAATGAATACCCACTTATTGTAGCAGAGGAATGCCAACTTTGTCACCTCTGCAACTCTTATCTTAGAACCTTGATAGCGGGGTCATTAGTTTCCACCTGCCCCAGAATAGATTCACCATTGATTCCCTCTGTTGCACCATTATCCCCCAACTAAAGCCCTGGTGGGTGTTTCTGAATAGTTCATCTAAGACCATATGCTAATGCTGTAACTACAAGAATGGTTGGGTAGTGAATATGTGGCTTTTTCAGTTTGTGTAATGGAAAGTGAGTTATGTGGGCCATCAACACTCACCCGATTGGGAGTTTCTCAAATGTAGGTAGGAATTCATATGTTGGGTGGCCAAAAATGCACAGCTATCCACTACATTCTGTTTATTCCTGCACCCAATTTCTTTTATGAATTATTATAACTTATGGTTGCATATGCGATTTTAAATTTTAGATTGAGAGTCTGGATTGGAAACATATTGCTCTAAGATGTTCTTTGATGTCTCAGGTAATTTTTCAACCTTATTCTTAGCTCTTGTTTTAGCAGATTTTCTTTCTTTTTTTTTTTTTTTTTTTTAGCAGATTTTATGGACTGATGGTGGTATTGATACTAAATATACTGATACTACTTATATTACCACTTAGATACAGCCTTCTACTTCTGAAAGAAATGATTTCCCTTAGTTTTAGTCTCACCTTTTACCTGGTTTAGATAATAGGTTCTGAAAGTATAATGGGAGAAGCAAAAACTTTAGAGCCAGATTTGGGATGTGATCCCTGTCACTCTATCTATGGGCATCTAACGTTTACTGTTATTCCCCTTTTAGTCATAAGAAAACTGAACCACTGAGAGGTTAAGTAGATCAAGAATTTTTGGTTAAACATGAAAAATCCAGAGAAATTAAGTAATTTTGTCTTTTTTTCTCAATGTGGAATATTTTATTGTGTCTAAAGCAGTGGGTGTCTAATTTTTAACATACACGGTACAGATAATCATGTTATATCAGATTGCCTCAGTTCCCTGGGTTTTGAGTTTAGAATTTTTTTTTTTTTGCATTCTAAATAATAACTATTGGTTATGCCCCAATGGCATGATTTTATATTTAATATTTTAATGTTTTAAAGTATTTTACTTTGAATTTATGCTTATAACAACCCTGTATAATGTCAATTTTGTAGATTTGAAACTAAAGTATATCAAGTTAAAATGACTTTTAAATCAATGTTCTAATCAGTGATTATGTACTTTGTAGAGCCTAAGACTATCAGAAAACAGATATTTACATTATGATTTATAACAGTAGCAAAATTACAGTTATGAAGTAGCAACGAAAATTTTATAGTTGGGGCACCGCAACATGAGGAACTGTATTAAAGGGTCAAGGCATTAGAAAGGTTGAGAACTACTGTACTAGAGCATCTGTTTGCCAAATCAGAACAATTTAAAATAAGTCAGGATAAAATTTATATGTTTTGCCTTGCATAAAATACTGATTTTTAGATTTTTGTTTTGTGCAGCTTTATAAAGACCTAATGAAATTGTTTTAATTCCCATCATTCAGACGCACATATCCTATATAATAAAAGCCTAATATGCCAAGTGTCCATTCAACCAATTAAAGTATAATATGCTAATGATATGCTAAGGCTGCTCAACTGCTCACTGCACTGACTTGCAATGATGTGCACTGACCACCAGGAGGCAGACGCTCTGAATAGTAGGTTAGCTTGCTGCTGGGGTTGGGTAGATCGGGACTGAGTGAGACCGGACAGACATGCCCTGGAGCCTTCCTGTGGTCTCTCCCCGGCTGGCCAACCTTCAGTGTCCCTCTGCAATCCCAATAGTACACGGGTGGGGTTCCTTGGCGTGGCCTAGCCCTCTCACAATCCAGACTAAGGGACCATCCCCGAGTGCACGAATTTTGTGCACCAGGCCTCTAATATTCTTAATATTTTAAAATACACATCATGAAAATCTCATTTTTGCAAATTAACACACTTGTTTGGGATAGTAATATGTATATTGCTTTTTCAAAATGACAATATGAAAAAAATTAGATTTTTCTAAGATACTTGAACATCTTAATTTTTATTTATTAGTTATGTTTCACTAATATTTGTTAAAAATGTTTTAATCTGTCAAAGTTGGAAGTGGACCAACATTTGTGACATATTGTGCGGTATGAGTTCTGAGATTATTGTGAATTCTCAAATTTATAAATGCAACTATAGTAATTTTGTTGCAATATGACTTTTTGCATACTCTCCAAGCAAGGGTATGATTATCTGCTAGTAGTCGAGCCTATCTTATTGTCCAACCTTAGCACTTACTGCTATTTTTCCTCGATACAAATTTTTGTACAGGATCGTTTTGTGGGCAATGGCCCTGAAAAGAAAGTCACTAGAAAAGAACATGGGGGGAAAAAAGATAAGAAAGATCTGACTTTTTCTAGAAAATATTTTTAAAAACATCAAAGACTTAGATGTAATTTTTTGCAAGACCTTGGATTTAACCATTAAGATAGCCATCATTGTTTCACAGGTAGAAAAAGAAAAGGGATTCTGTTTCAGAAACTGTTCTTGCTGAATTAAAAACTGCTTGAGAAAGAAAACTTTACTGAAAACTGAAAATACTGTTTAATATTCTGTTAGAGCATATGCATAGGAATCACCTGATTCAAAATTTTAAGTATGGTTTTGACTCAAATACCTAAATTGAATGCAATTAATTTTATAGATTGGCAATGATCTTACTGAACTTATTTCTTATAACTTTTAGGTTGTTTTTCTTGGCATTTCTAAGTAAATAATCATATCATCTATAATGGTGCCAGTTTTTTTCTTTCCAATCTCAGATTTTGTTTTTTTCTAATTGCACAAAGTTAGCACTTTCAAGACAGTACTTTTTCAGCATCTATGGAACAGTTTTATACCTTTTATCCTTTTACTTATTAATATGGTGAAGTTTATTATAGGTTGTCCAATTTTGAGTTGTCTTGAATTTCTGGAATATATCATATAATTCTAATATTTTAAAATTAGTTTTTATTAATGAAATATTTCAGTCATACAGAGTTGAAACAGTTCAATGAAAATCTGTATATCCTCTGTATAAATTCAATAATTTGCTGTATTTGCTCTATTTTTATACTTGAAACTATTAAAAATCAAGAACTTCATCCTGCTGTTGGGGCTCAGTGGTTGAGAGTGGACCTATGAGTAGGTCACAGTTATTCTTGTAAGGTTGGGTTGAGGGTTCGATCCCCAGTGGAGAAGAGAGGGTTGTAGGAAATAGCTGATCATGATTCTGTCATCATTGATGTTTCTCTCTCCCTCTCTCTGAATTCAATAAATATATATTTAAAATATCATAAATTTCACCCTAAATACTTCAGCATGAATTTCTAAGGATAAGGATTCCAATATAACTACAAAACTCATAATATCTAAGGAAATAATGATTTTATATTATCTAATATCCATTCTTTATGTAAATTTTTCCAAATGCCCCAACACTATCTTTTATACGTTTCATTTTCCAAACCAGTTAGGATTTATACACTGCATGTGGTTATGTCTTTAATTTTACTTAATCTAGAATTGTACCCTTCTCATTCTCTTTTCCCAATGAAATGACTTTTTGAAGAATCCAGACCAATTATCTTAAGAGATACTATCCCTATTTTCAAAGAGCTTTATGTTAATACTAGAGACCCAGTGCACAAAATTCGTTCATGGGTGCAATCCCTAGGCCTGACCAGTGATGGAAGCGCAAGCATCTGGCATGGAAGTGCAGGTCCCAGCTGACCTCTGGGCCCTGGGCAGCCCCTGGGCCCCAGGACCCCCGTGAGTCCCCATCTGCTTGAGTTATCGGGCTCCCTCCTGGATCTCTCAGCACCTGGGAACCTAACAGCAGTCCCGCCCCCTGCCACTGCGGGTTGCCGATGCCCGCCATGTTCCACACCGCCCCCCTGGTGGTCAGCACACATCATAGCAAGTGGTCAAACTGCCGGTTGAACTCCCGGTTCAGAGGTCAATTTGCATATTAGGCTTTTATTATATAGGATGAGACAGACCTTAAACATGCAATTTCATACTTTAGTTTGTAAATGTGTACAATTATGTGGATGAGAAAACTGATTACTGCAGAAATTAATTATTTAAGATAACAAATGGATAAGTGTCCAAACTGTGTTTTAACTGGGTCTGGTTTCAAAACTCACTCTATTTCAATTATTACCAAGATACTTTTAACTTAAAAATGTTAAAGAAAACTTAGAGCTTGTAAAAGTCTGCTGAGATTTTTATTTTTCATTATTTTCCGAAAATAATATTTCTTTTCTTAATTACAGACAAACAATGTTCCTAAGCAGTACAATCTTACGCGCACACACACACACACACACACAATATTCTCTTCAAAACTGTCAGGCTCTGGGATTCTAAATAACCTACAGGTTAATTTGCAGACCACTAAATACTAGTAGTACAACATCTGCCTGCAGACTAAAGGGTCCCAAATTTGATTCTGGCCAAGGGCACATGCCTGGGTTGCAGGCTCAATCCCCCCCAATAGGGGGCATGCAGAAGGCAGGCAATCACTGATTGTCTCTCATCATTGATGTTTCTTACTCTCTTACTTTTCTTTCTGAAATAAATAAAATATATATGTAAATTTCCAGACCACTGTAACTTAGAGATGTTCTTGTGATATATTTTCTAATGAAGTAGACTTCATTATGAAGTAGACTCCACTGTAGATTTTAGAATTTCCTTTGATTCCATTTTCACAGAATTTTATCCATTGTTTTAATTATTTTAAAAATTTGCTTACACATAATTTGTTACCTTATAAGTAACACTATAAAAGATAATGTTGGCAAGTTAAGTTTTCTTTTAGTTAGTAGTCAAAACACCTGGAAATCAGGTATGGTAGTGATCCAAGATGAAATCCATATATTTGCGATTCTGTCAGGAATTATTCTAGGCATACAGGTGATTTCTATGGAGTATGGAGTATAGAATAAATTCCTTAACTCTTTGCAACTCCATATTTAGAGGTTAGCTGCAAGATTTAATTAATGTTTGCTCTGGAATTTGGGGCATGATAGTAATGTCATTTGTTGTAACTGCTACAGCCAAGAAGCCAGAAATTTTAAATGCCTAAATATTACAATAGGGGATTTGAAGTTAATCCACTTAAGTTTTCTATACTATCTGCTGGCTATTTAAGCACTACTGTGTTTCCCCGAAAATAAGACCTACTTACAGGTTTCCTTCTGAGTGAAATATAAGGCATCCCCCTGAAAATAAGGCCCCCCCTATGCTAAACATGAGAGATTTGGTCCACTGATTCTGAAAGAAATGGAGTCACAAGAAATTCACCAGGAAATTCAGGAATTGGATTGTTATGATGATGTTCCAGAACATGATGACATGATTGTCATTGAATAAATGAGTAAATTCTTGATACTGTAGGATTCACAGTTTGTCTGATTTGTGTTGACA